TAACGCGGTCGAGTTTTACAAACCACCCATACGTTCCGACCCCGCGCGTTTAAAGGCCGTGCGCACGGTCGACCGTTTAAAGCTGACCATTCGTATTAATTATTCCTACGTCCGACTGATTAACGAGCTCGCCCCTGCAATTTGTAGTCACGCTAATGATAATAGAGGAAAAAAAGTCGGCGATACCGATGACTCGGTCGGGCCATATCGATCTCTTTCCTCCATGTAAATGTGCTCTTCGGGGAAAAAATAAAGCTGATTCGAATTCAGCCTCGGATTTCAATCCCGAGTTCTATGTAAAAGTTGCGGAGGAAAATCTTTCACGCTTGCCAGCCTCGCGTACACACGGAACCCGTATTTTCCTTACCAGAGACATGACTTGCTGTCGTCACTGAGCGAGCGAGCGAGCGAGAAACAGCGAGAGAGAGAGGGAGGGTTTATATACCGTTGTACACATGAACGTGTATGTGCAAACACACACGGAGCGGATCGATTTATGCGGCTAAGTAAGTGCATTTTTATGCACCGTTTCACAGCCGAGACGAGCAGCCTTGCAGCGAGCCACTTCGTTTAACGAACGACCCATATAGCCCTGCATATGCACGTAGCTCTGTGCCCTTTCAGGCTGCCTATACGCTTTGTCCGTCTATCGTTCCGCGCGTGAAATTACAAATTCCGCGCCTTTCTCTGCGTGTTTAATCACCGAACACAGGCTACTTAAATCCCTAAATTGGACGACCCGGCTAGGCTGCGACGAAAACTCAATTTTCTTCCCCGTTGACTCACGTTATAGAGATCCCTCAGCCATTCGGTGAGGGGAATAGAATTTTCTTCTATCGGGCGAGCGGAAAGTGTTTACGACGATAGACCGGCGGGACCTTAGGACCTGAGACGCGATTTAAATTAAAGAACGATAACATCAGAGTTCATAGAAAAATTGTGAAAATACATTGAACGTGTATCTGCTGTTAGCGCAACGTTGCGAAATTCGTTAACGGATAACGTGGCCGCAAAATCCGTTGGATTTATTATACTTAATCCGTGTTCCATTAACGACGAATATGTTGAAGACCAGTTAGCAACGAAATATTAATTACCGGGCAATCGGCTTATACAAAAATCCTTTCCGATAAAATCTGCCATTTGAACAAACTGAATGTTGAAGTTATATAACAATTGAATTTGTAGGAAATATACATGTAATACGTAAAATTATACCAAACGTGAAAAGCTGAATGTTTATCATAAATTATTAGGTTTTGTATAATAACTCGCAGTCTAATTATAATAGAGGATTCGTTAATCATGTGAATTTCGCGAAATGGTTGTTACCTCCTTATGAAATTGATATTAGATATCGAAGCGAACCGGATGCAAATTATCGTCTTCCAGCATCGGTCCACGGCGCACTTGATTAGCTAGAGCACGCGATAGCATCGTGAAGTGGCCACTCTCGGTTGCGAAGCTATTTAGTCCCGGGAAGAGAAATTCCCCAGCAAGCCTCTCACAATTAGCTTAAGCAACTTCTAAGCACAATGACCGGTTGCTCGGATGGAGTTTGTCTCTCGGACGTCCTCTCGTATTCCTCTCACGTATTACGACGTCTTCCTCTTCCGTGAATCGCGTTCCAGAACCGAGTAGACGCGTGGAATTTCTCCAACAGGGAAACGAAATCGTCAAATCGATTTTAGTTATATTAAAACGTATCCACGTGTGTCATACCCTCGTATCGTGTCACCGTTGCACGTGTACTCTCGTTTGTAAATCTTATAATGATTAAATAAATCTTAGAAAAATGAATTGCTATTTTCTGAAATGCAAGAATGCATTAATTCAATAAGTTCTGTCGGTAAAAGTTCTAATCAAGGACAAGAATGATTAGTTATTAGTTAATCCGAGCCTTGAAGAATACTAGAGACAATGAGAGGCATTCGTAACTGAGAAAAGCGATGCAGCGTTTACTGTATTAATTGGGAACGTTTCTCGGAATAAAAGTCGAGAGAAAGCTTGTGAAAATAAGCCAGCAATTGGCACGGACGGTCGAGGAAAGCTTTGCTCTCTCGTAGAAAAATATTTGGCTGGCCTGCGAGTTTCATCGTGTCGCTCTAGGCGTTCACCTCTGCTTCCGTTTATCTGCTCTATCCTCCCTTTATTTTCTGCATCCTCTCCTCTGTTCCCTCGGACAAGCTTTCGCTCGGTAAAGCCGTCTCTGTTCTCCACTGGAAGTTCGCTTGAGATAATTATACCTGAATCACAGTACATATAAGACAGAACGGTAGCCTCACTCACAACTCCACTCGTTAAGGAATAATTGGCGAAGAACGCAGTAATTAATCGATTAGTCCTGAAG